CAGGGCGCGGGCTGCTCAAGCGAACAGCACTCCCAGCACCCGCAAGGACGGGACCCGTGAGGAAGCCCCCGAGGATAGGCAGCGAGGCGGCCCAGCGCGCACCTCCTGCGGGGCGCCGGGGTCGAACCTGCAGTCTGAGCGACCACCGCGGACAAACAGCCACCAGGGATCAGATCCGTGGCCGGAAGTGGCCAGACACCCGCTGAGGCAGGGACGGAGTGGGGCGGGGCAGGCTCTCGCCAATGGGAAGAGAAAGATACGCCCCGCCCCGAGAGCCACCACCTATGAGGACCCAAGGGCCGGAGGGTGGAGGCCAGAAGAGACACCAATCAAAGTGGAGAATCTGCGAGCACTGCCCGCCCCAGAGCACCAGAAGCCAACCGTGGGCCTGAGGCCGGGCGACCCGAAGGGGTTCAAATCAACTCCACCTCCTCCCTACGCCCCGCCCCACTCCGAAAGAGGAAAAAAGAAGGCAGCGGAAACACAGGCCCATGCCACTCACTGGCCAGGCCCGCCCTTATCCGGCCCAGCCACCAATCGTACCAAAGCAGACTGATAAGGACATTCCACGGGAGACGTCACGACCAATCACAAGGAGGCCTAGGAGGAACGTTCCGCAATATGCTAATGAGTTCCTATAAAAATCGCTGCGAAGCTACGTCTCCGGCAGAGCGCGCAGGGGCGCTTTACCCTGTGGGGAATTTGGCATGTGTCGCGACAAGCAAGTAGCCTTCCACTCCCCCCAACTCTTCCGTTTTCCTGCTGCGCACCCCAGTAAACACTAGTAAACTCCGAGCGACGACCCACGTTCAAAACCGGGCCGCCAACGTCTCTCCTGACCTCGCAAGAAAGTTTCACCAACAGCCAGCGATTCCCGGCGGGCACGATGCCTGCACCGCTCTCCGCCACCCCGGGCGGCTGGGTCTGCAGGGGAAGACCCACAGGTCCCCTCCCAGCCTCGTTCCGCTCCGAGCCCCCCGGCGCAGCACAGATGGGCGCCTTCCTCGCCCGCGCTCCTCCCCTCCCCTCCCATTGCACACCCGAAAAAAGCCCTCGTCCTCCGCAAACTACTCGGCGGCGTCGCCCCTCGCAGTCGGCCCTACTCCGTCGCGTCCAGCGCCAAGGGAGCCTTGGCGTGGGCGGCGAACGACTCCGAGCTC